TACGTACAAGTGGTCTAGTTTCGAAAATTTCGGAATAAAAACAATCGATTAGTGGCGGGAAACGTTGTCATTATAATTTCGATTTAATTGTTTTTGCTTTCGATTTGAAAATTTTTGTAGCATTTAGGAATATGATTTTTTTTTGCTAATATTTCGCTGGAATTGTAGGTCTGGCTTAAAACTTGTTCAATTGCCAAGTCAAGTTATTTTTTCCAACCAGTAATGAACAATCACATACAATATTCAAAAAAAGAGAGATGATTATACGATTTTACTGGGAAAGGGTAGTCTCGGGGATTTAAGCTGATTACCGATCAGTGGCACCCAAATCGGAGCGGTTCTTCCAATATTAATATTGACTTTTTACATACAGACAAGTTGTCTACAAGTTGTACTACATCTTGTCACTGATGGAAGAGATGAAAAATGTTGTAAAAAAAATAAAAAAAGGCTTAACATATTCTGATATCTGAAATAACGATAGGAAAATCAATCTCTTTATATACACAAAAATACCATGCGGATCTTTGTGGTTTGGTGTGTCCTACAAGACCTACACCATATGTTCTCGAAATGTCCCATACAAAGACCCAGAGAAGTCTAGAGTTCCGCGAGCGCTTTGTTCACTTATTAAAATAAAGACTTGGGTAGTTTTGTACAAATAATCGATAACGGCATTCAATTAAATTTGACAACGGTAGCGTCGAAATGTATCAACATGACGGCAATTCAAATATGTCATTTTCTATAAGTTCCAAAAGATAACGCCCAATTGTAAATACCGCCTTGTTGCCACATTTTGACATTACTTCATTAATATGTTCGTCAAGTGTATTTTCAAAATACAAAGCAACAAATACATCCGAATCATTGAATAGAGTAATTTTAGTTTAATCAGGAACTTTAATCGGTAAGCAACAATTTTTAAAAATTTATTGCGGGGCTCCGTAAATAATAATAGTAAAGCTCTTCACGGGCTCCCAACATCAAAAGTTTGACAACCCCTGTCCTGCACAATTAGATTATGAATAGGGATAAATATATGACTCCATAACAATTTGAGTGGTCTCTTGAACAGAAGGTCTTAAAGCAATTAACAATTATCTCATGAATTTGATTAAGCTGACCAATATGTTTTACCGCCTGGAATTAACGCGTTTATTATTTAAGCATCGCGCTAACCCTGGCATGGGCACACCACGGCCCGCGGCCAAGATCCGACCCGTTGGGTGATTCAATCTGGCCCGCATGATGCTGCCACAACCAAACTGGACCAAATTTTGATGTTTCAGCTAAAAAATAACTTAAGGATTTGTTGAGATTGCGATTGAATTTATTTTTGGCACGAGGCTCGTGGTATTCCACTTTGTAACACTGTAAATATTGTTCATAAAATGTAACTTTTTACGTCACACTTACATGATCTGTCAGTCTAGGCGGGAATTTTTTTTGGCCTGTGGTCCAAAAACCTTGCCCACGTCTGCGCACTGTAACAAAAAAATTGTAAAATCACTGGGATTTGAGCAGTGATTGATATACAGTAAAAAGTTTTACTGGTTTTTGCACAGTAATTTTTTTCAGTGGTGCTCCGCGTGCGTAAATAGGGTCGCCGCGCATGCGCATTCGCTTCTTACGTGTCGCGCGGGCAATTTCCGCCTCGTGTTTTCCTTCGAACTGGTTTTTGCAAGTGGAAGTTGTCGCAGTGTCTTTTGCGCCGCTTTGGAGCTGAATATGCAAAGCGCGTAATAAGATGTTTATGTACAGTAAACCACGCCAAAAGATGAGATAGGAGGTAACTATGGTACCGGTACTGTTATTGTCAGTGTTTGTCGCCGTGAGTGTGTTGTACGTCGTGGTACTTTATACAGTAATATACCGGTACAGATATATGGCTGGAGATTTGATATACCGTAATTCCGCATTATTTGTGTTTGGTATGGTACGGTACCGGTACGGTGGTCTACGCACTGAGTAAAATTTCACCTAATTTAACCCTGGTCAATACAGCTAAGCATTTTTTTGGCTGGTGATCATTAACTACCGTATATCAGCAGGGTCAAATTCGCAGTTGAATGTAATTGCAGGGCTTGAGTTTCGGAGACTGGGTTAGGTTGATTGGGAGACTGATGTGCCTTTATTTAAAACCTCACAATTCCACTAAATTGGTACGGTACCGTATCTAAAATTCTAAATACACAGTTATAAAGTTGGTGAAAATATGGAACGTGATTCCTGGATTCTGTGAATGGTTGGACTTGTGGACCGGTACGGTACCGAATACCGTAGTTAGAACTTAGATACCAGTACCGGTAAATACCGATAGTTACGGTACCGTACTGGTATATTACGGTAGCGGTACCATATGGATTTCAACCAAACATATTTTCATGGTCTCTAATTACTAAAAAGGGAAAGTCTTATTCATGTTTTCACTCAAGCCATTCTCTTCAATTTTTCAATTACACTACTTTTTATTCTCTGATGATTTAATACAGCAATAATAGGCTAAAAATATGGCAGATGTAGACCTGTGTTGCAATGTTTCAATATGTGGCTATGATGCTGAAGATTCCACATTAATAGTAAAACATTTGAAAAATCATATTCGAGCTGGTAAAGAAATTTCTTGTCCATACCTTGCTTGTTTCAGAAAGTTTAGAAATCTGAACACGTTTTCTTCCCATATTCGAAGAACCCATCGTTTATCTATCCAGCCACGTGAAGAAGTTATGCAAATTGACTGTCCCATTATTTTTGGATCCATACGGACACCCCAAGTATTCTCATCACCATCTCCATTGATTCAAATGGATCCAAGTGTTGATTCTTTGGAGACTCTCAGAAGAAATTGCACAGTGTTCTGTGCAATGCTGCAGTATAAACTACTCATTCCTGGTATCACTATCAGCAAAATTCTTGAGGCACAGCAGAAAATCAACAGCTGTACACATGCTTCCATTGAATTGGCTATCAAAAATGTATTGCAAGATGAGGGCATTGATCAATCTGTAATCAAAAAAGTGCTTGAATCCGTAATGCATGTAATGATGAATACTCCTGTTGGTGATGGAACTCTGCAATCAAGTTATCTCAGAGAACGCTTATACAAAAATTACTATCCTTTGTTGAACCATTGTCTTACAATGTAGCTAGAACTTTATCTCAGCCTGAACCGAATAAGGAGAGCTATCAGTATATACCTATTGTTGATTCAATCAAAGCCCTTTTCAAATATGAAAGCATTCGCTATCAATATCTTAACCCAATTGATCCAGGAAACTACCTTTTGGACATAAAAGATGGAGGCGCTTTCAAAAAAAATTCTTTCTTCAATCAAGAAGCTGTTCTAAGGCCTCTACAAATTATTCTCTATCAAGACGCGTTCGAAATAGTTAATCCTTTAGGATCCGCGAAGAAAAAACATAAGATTCTCGCAACATACTTCACCTTGGGTAATATTCACCCCTATTGTCGGTCAAAAGTTTCTCCTATCCAGCTTGTGATGCTTGTAAAAGAACATTATGTCAGCAATGAATGTATTAAAGACATTTTCAGTCCTCTATTGGCAGATTTGAAAATTATTGAACATGAAGGAATTGACTTGGGGTTTTCTGAAAAAGTTCGAGGGAGTATTTCTTGCATATTAGGTGATAATCTCGGTAGTCATTGGATAGGAGGATTTGTTACAAATTTTGGCACTTCAGAATATTTTTGTAGATATTGCTCCGTTAAAAGAAGTGATTTTTCAGAAAACTCAATTGTCATCGAGACATTACGTACAAAGGAATCGTATGACCAGAGCGTTAATCAAATGCTGCTACAAGTATCTGGGAATATCACTGGAATAAAATATGATTGCATATTTAATCAATTGAATTATTTTCATGTTTGTCAGCCATCCTTACCACCCTGCTTAGCCCATGATATATTTGAAGGGGTCGCTCAATTTGACATGGCAATATTCATACAGTGTCTTATTTCCAAAGGCTGGTTTACTTTGGACTACTTGAATATGCGCATTTCGACATTTCATTATAACAAGTCAGACAGTACCTCCAAGCCACAAATATTGAAACCAAATTTGGAAAAACTGACTGGAAATGCTTCACAAAATCGAGCGTTTTTAAGGCTTTTCCCATTTTGGGTGGTTGACAAGGTCCAAGACTTTGATGATCCAATTTGGCAAATGATCATCAATCTTAGATATATTGTTGAGTTGATTTGTGCACCAAAGGCCTCAAATGCAATTATCAGTGCACTTCAATGGCTATTGCCGCTATATGTTGCATCCCGTAAACAGTTATTTCCTGGTCATACAGTGCGACCTAAGCACCATTATTTGATGCATTATCCGGAATTGATCTCACTTTTTGGCCCCTTAATTCGATGCTGGACTTTGAGGTTTGAGGGAAAGCACTCCTATTTTAAAAATGTAGTCCGGAGAACTGGGAATTTTGTCAATGTGTGCAAAACCCTTGCACATAGTCACCAAATGATGCAAGCTTGCATGCTAGAACAACGATTCGCATGTCCCCTAATTCGGCGACATTTAGCAAATCAACAAATTGTATATTCTGAAGCTATCATGCACGTATTTGATGAGAGGGGTTTTCCCTTTAATGATAGCCAGTTTCTGGATAAATTTTTTTATCAAGGAACTGAATACAAAAAAAAACAATATATTCTACTTGAAAAAGTTGACTTTGATTTTGTAGTTGGTAAAATTGAATGTATTTTTGTTTATCAAGAAAAAGAATACATGGTTGTGAAAACATTTAACGGCACATATAATCCTCAAATTGGAATATATCTACTTGGGGATGATTTGAATCCATACAAAATATTGAAATTTGACCAAATTTTGGACTATGATCCCATATGTGTGTACAGGTTAGGGAAAGATTCATGGTTCGCACTCAAACATCATGTAAGTTGATGGCATTTGTGATAAAAGTCTTATAACCTGTGACACTGACACCTATAATATTTTTTTTTAAGTTCGCCTTTTTGTACTGTTCATATTTTTCATTAACAGTATGCAGGTAGAAATTGAGAACGATATTTTAAAGGTACTTAATGTACCAAGAGAATTAGCAAATCAAGTTGCTTATATTATTGTTAATGATCTGGGAGTTGAGGAAGCCAAAGATTTAAGTTTAATTAATGAAGAAGACCTCACTAAAGGAAGCATTTTGAAAACAATCCAAGCCCGGAAACTTATAATGACCTGGAAAGCAGACAAAAGTATGTACAGTATGGCTTAAATATTTGGAATTGTTAATCGTATTTTATATCAATCCTACACACATGATAAGTTTATTTTAACATATGGTGAATTTGTTTATGCTTTCGGGCCCATGGCCATAGTTTACTGAAAAATTTTTTTTGTATATTTCAATGAAAAGAAATTGGAAAAAAATTATGGAAAACTATTGACTGATAAAAATTCTTCGAATTTCATTGATTTTTTTTTTCAAGTTTTATACATATTACATTTTTTTTTACAGTTGAGGAGCAATATAATTCGACGTCAAGTGTTGAAACTGACAGCAGCCATTCTTTACAACCTTCACCAATGCAAAACTGGGCCATGAATTTTGAAATCCCGTGGCACAAGTTTCCTGCAGACTTAATAACAAGCTGCAATAACAATGAAGTACCAACTCCTTTTAACAGAAGAGAAATGGTGAAAATTCTCATTGAGGAAATCACAAAGACTTATCCAAAACCAGGAAAGAGAAACTTGCACACAATTGCATGTAAAGTCTCATCAAAATATCCCAATTCCTTCAGCGATACTTTCCTGCACAGTGACAAAATAAATTTTGGCATCCAGTCACTAGCAGATCAGTTATTGTACAGATATGAGTATGTCAGACGACAAACTAAAAGAGCGATTGTATCAACGCCAACTTCGGCACGTAAAAAGCTTGTGGAATCTTCATTGCAGCACCTAAATGAAGCAAAGCTGTGGCTCATTGATCACTATAAACTTCAAGCGCATGATTCATCTTTGGTTCAATACCGAATGGGAGAAACTTATGAGCTCCAAAGAGAAATGATACACAACAAAACCACGATTGAACAGATAAAAAGTGAATTTCCATTCCTTCTAATTAAAGAGCATCTTTATGATCATTTCTGTACACTCATGGACAAACCAGATGCAGTGGAACTGTTCAATTCCAAACTATGTTCACAAGCAAAGAAAATTTTCAAGTATGTTATACTATTTATTATCAAAATATGCTTAGCGGCTGCTGTTATACTCTTTTATGTTCTCGACTACAAGGACTTTTGAGTAATGTGGCATAATATGAGCTGGTTAAGTGAAGTGACAAACTGGTCATTAAAGATGACCACCTTGCAATGCTTTGGCTGATAATCTTTTGCATGACCACACATCGGAAGATCTGGTTCCTACTCTGTTTCTTACAATTAATGGTCATTTTCTAGCAATCAGTACTTATGCATTCTCATTATTACTTTAGAGCACTCAAGTCCAGATCTCATGCTGGAATACCTGCCATTGCCAGAAAGATTAGAGAAGAATGCAGCGAACATGGAAATTCAGCTCCAAAAGCTCTGAGGATCATTGACCTTCTGGCATGCTATTTCAAAGAAGATGTAAAATCTGTTTATCAGCTTTTTGAGGTTGGTTTGGTTTTGTTAAATATTTGGCAAAGTACGCAAAAAGCAGATTTTTTTATACATTCTGCACGAGTATGCTAGTCTGAACTAAGATTTCTTTCTAAACAGTTGCATCTATTGTGTCCTCCACAATAAACTTTTATTTGTTAACCTAATGAACTTGATATTATAACAGTTACTACTATACTATATGAGCCTGGTCTTGCTTTCACACTTTCGACGCTGACTGCTCATGGTAATGTCAAAATCGAAATATAAAATGACAATAATTAATTTTGAATGTATTGTGTTCTTTTGAGGTATCTCGGCGTACAACATTTATCCACGTTGGCTCTTGATAGTTGTTATCTCAATTCTTATTTTTTTTTTTAGAATGAAGTAGAATTAGCAGAAGTTTTGCCATCACTGCAAGCAGCTCCAATCATTATTGTGTTTGGTAAGTTTCCATCATTCTTTTTAAAAGAATTCTTCTACATTTTTCGCTCAGATCCAGGATTTATACATATGGGGCATTATGTTTGAAAAGTTGAATCTTTATGCTCAGCGCAGTCAGCAAGTTTATTACACTGTGGTTGGTGATGGGAATGGACAGGCTGATTGAGAACCTCATTCTCTAAGAATGGAAAGAGAAGTTGTCTTCTCTTCTGTTTTTTTTTCAATCTGTTATATCCCAATTTATTTTCAAGATATTTTCGATATAAAATTGTAGAAGTTTTAGTACTGTGTTGTTACCTGAAAACATTTTAAATGACTTGTTTCCATGTACAGGAGACGACCTTGTCACCTCAGAAAAATTTTGTGTTCTCATCGAACAAATAGAAGTGATGAGATGCACGGACTTCTTTTCTGCCTTCGTGTACATGTTTTGTGCGTTTTTTGTGTTTGAAATGAAATACCCTGATGATTCTGCTTTAACGTATGAATTCATACAAAGGTGAGCAGCTGACTTTTAGATAGGCATGGCTAAATTGAAATACCTTTGATGGTTGGACCAAGTCTGTATCAATAATCATTGTGATCAATCAAATGTGAAGTTGCAGTTCACATTTTTATAAGTCTGAAATTCTATTTCAGGCATTTCTGCTTGTCAGTGAATGTTAACTTAGGTAATTCATAGTTCCACATTAATTAAAGATATTTGAGTTTGATAAGTCACATTTAATATATTCTGATATACATTTTTCAGATATTTCGTTGGCATCAACACAGCTGGCACCAGAAGCAAAAAGCGACAAAAATATGTCATCCACCCCAAAGTCATGAGACTGGGAAAACTTGTGGAGTGACTGCTGAATAGGGTTCTAATGCAGTGCAGTATTGGGGAAACTTAAGTCATTGACTCAACTTGAGTCACCTTTTTCAGAGACTCATTGTTATACAAAGTTATTTTCGTTTTGCCTTACATTTTCGTTTTTGTTTCTACATTACATTCCTTTAATATTTTTGTTGAAAACATATTTGTGTGTTTTATCCACATGGGAAAACAAATAGCAAGTTACAGGGGAATCAGTGAGTTGATGTATTTGAAAAAAATATTTACTGGTATTTGAGCTGGCACCAAAAAAACCGTTAAAACAACAGTACGAAAACTGGTAAAACACCAGTGATTTAACTGTGAATAGGTAGTAAAATTACAGGTAAACGGCAAGCGAATTTACTGCTTAAAGCTGGGGAATTTACTAGTAAATGGACAGTAAAATTGCCTGTAAATTAGCAGTATATTTACCGTTGTATATTAGGAAAATAGCAAATAAAAAACGTAAAATTACATGCTAAGCAGTAATTTTACAGGTATTTCTTTTGTAATTTTACTGGTATTTTGCCAGCTTTTTTACCGGTATTCTGACCGTTTTTTTGGTGCCAGGTAAAATACCAGTAAATATTTTTTACAGTGGCGCTAACCACATTTGGAATGAATAAATTCTATAATTTCGCACAAGTTTTATCAAAAGTGGCCTCAAACACGAGTTTTTGAACCGGCAAACTTGAAATACACAAACCCTGTCCGCCATTTTAATTGAATATAATTCTCCAATGTGGCATATGGCAACAGTCATCAACCAAAGCCTATTTTTCGGTTGCCTGTAAATTACCTACCATCTCAGTCATAAAAGAAAATAATCTTCCAATCTCTCGAAATAATTAAATTTATCAATCAATCGTTTCATTCATTCGTGTAAAAATACTCTGATCTGTTTTGAAACTTCGCTTTCGACCGAAAGTACTTAAACTTTACTATTTATATTTTTTCATCGCGAGTTGTTTTTCATTTCTTATCAGCTGTACCACAAACTGTGCTTTATTGAGTTTAATTAAATCGTATAGATAGGTATTTCTCAGTTTTCGGTAACGCAAATCATTTTCCAATATAGTGTGACTAAAAACAAACCTATGAATTTAATATTTACTAGTGCAGATACCGATATGTATTTAATTGTTCAATACTTGAATATCAAAAAGAGCGTATTTTTGGTGGTTTTTAACAGTTTTTGCACATTTTGGCATGATTTTTGTAGCCAATGCGACGTAACTGCCCCACCCTTGATAAATGTGTTTGGAAAAAATTATGGACAACCATTGAAGTACCTGTAACTATTCGTGTATGATTGTACCAAAAAAATTATTAATCTAGAATGCTTCGCACATAAGTTATATTTTCTCTAGAACAGGGTGGTCCAAACTCAGGCCAGCGGGTCACTTGTGGCCCTCCGCTTCATTATCTGTGGCCCGCGTCGCATTCGGAGAAGAATCAAAAAATCGCATTTCGTGATGTTTCGTCATAAAATCAACCAAAAAATCTTCTGATATATTGTTGCTAATGTCACTGAATTGACTAGTGTTATGGCTTTCTGAGGCAACTAGCGAAGTTGAACGAACGAAGTTCTTCACACTATTGTGGCCCGCGAACAATGCAGAAGTAATTTTGCGGCCCGCGGGCTGCCAATCTTGGACCACCATGCTCTAAGTCTAGAATATCTCCTAAATGACCTGAGTCTGGTTTTGTTTTGGCCATTCAGTGCATATTTGATATTTCAAATAAAAATGAAAATTGCAGTAAACAGCAAGTGGTCACTACCAGATCAAATCATAGTAAAACAAGTACAAGTAGTGAGAGCACGCAATTTAGTTTAAATTCGAGCTGTTATCAACCTTCATCTGCTTCACCTCGAACTAATGGACCCACTTTTGTATTTTCAGAAATAATTTATCAGACTATTCGATCAGTAAATACTTTACAAAAAGAAAAAAAAGTCATATGTCAGAATTACGTCACAAAAATATGGCTAATACAAAAACTGAGGAACGCACCTCGACCTTTGTGCGTTCAAATAAAAAACAAGATGGCGGCGATTCGAAATTTCCTTCTGAACAGACACTACACAACACTGCAAATGATTCTCACCTACATTGCCGAGCAAAAACTTTCAAACATATAGTCAGAATAAAATGAATTTATTTCCAGAAAAAATAATAAATTTTTCAATACATCAGACGGAACGCAAAAGAAAAAACATTGAGGTATCAAAGGGTGAGTAGACTTCCTACTAAAGACGAAGATATGCAAAACATGCAGGGATATTGTCAACGAAATCTAGAATAATAGGACTCTAAAATTCGAATACAAATTTTGATAATGTTTGGTAAGTAAAATAAAGGGTAATCCCGTAGTATGTGTACCAGGTTTAGGGTTAGACCATACTTTTTTTCCGATTTTTCTTATTTTAGTTCTATTACGAGTTCGGGGACTGTCTGTGTTAGCCAAGTGAATATACCCCATGCCCGTAGGTTTCAGTCCGTTCACACAACTTGATCTAAAATAGCCTAACAAAATTTTTTACCTCCATATTGGTGCACACACTTTTGGAGCGAAGAGGAATGAACTAATCTTTGAGCAACCTTTTCAATACTAACAGCTATAAATGCTAAAAGCTAGAATCCCAAGATCACTAACAAAAATGAATATGCGTTAATTCTCGGTGAAAAGCGAAGTCAGATACGACTATATTTAAGTTGTAAAATTTGGAAGACGAATAAAATGCGATAATGTCCGGTGAGAGTGGACGGGGAACTTAGCTGCAGATACATATTGAATGTCGAAACCTAGAAACCACGAATTTCAACGAAAAAACATCCTTTCTCAATAGGAAGCGATGTCAACTCGGGCATAAAATGAATGCTTCGAGCTAGGAAAAAAATTCGGGTCGTCAGGGGTCAATGAGTACCATAGTAACAGCTCTGAAATCTATGATCATAATTGTGTTATTTCAAATAATCTATCTGGGAAAATACTTGAAAATGGAACCATTCAGATTTTTGATAGAATAATAAAAACAAAAAAAACTTATAGAAAAATAATAAATGAATAAAATAAAGAAAAATAAAAGTAACAAAATAAAATGATTTGCTATCGACCAAAATCACACTGTTAATAACTTATAGCAATTTTATTTGCAGTGGGTTTCATAGTTTCACTCGAATCGAGAAGGGCAAAACAAAACAACAAAAGTGGTCACTGATTGCCAAGATACTATAATTATAGAATAATCAGTATTCTTTTGTGAACAGCTTATAGGTTGCCAGAAGAACAATGTCTTGGACTTTTGATCGGGATAAAAGTGGAAAAAAAGAGGATTTTAAAATTTCATCTCGAAATTTTTAGGGATAATTGATATCAAGGATTTGCTGAATAAAGTTTAATATTTCAGTATGGCTTAAAAATATGGCTTCACTTGTAATTCTAAACAGTCAGAGATCCAGTCACAGCGCTTTATTGGAGTAGTTATTGTTGACTTTGAGGGATTTTCTAATCGAATAGGTCGCATAGATGTTCAGAATTCTGACCCGGGTTTCGATCTACATCGACCGGGTTTTCACACAACTTGATTTCTGTCGACGTTTTTCTTCCGCTTCACATTAGTAATATTCCCGTTTACGTCTTGGTGCGTGTCGACGTTTCTTTATATCACTTCTCAGAATTATTTCATCCGAATAGCGAACATACGAATTTGAATCTGTCCACACCAAAACCGAATAATGTTCCCCAGGTGTCAAATTTTTGAATAAATGTTTTCTGGTTGGCTGTAAAAGAAAATTAGAAATATATTAATGAATGATCACATGAAACATGAACAAATTGTTGAGTTTTTGGCGCCAGAAGTGTGTGTACCAGTATGGGGGTAACTAATTTTGATCGCCAACTTTACATCAAATTGTGTAAAGGGACTATGGGCAAGATGTGTATACACTTGGCTAACACAGACAATCCCCGAACTCGTAATAAAACTAAAATAAGGAAAATTGGAATAAAATTATGGCCTAACCTTAACTTGATACACACACTAGGATAGTACCAATTTGTCTTTGCTTCTGAATTAAATGAACTTGCAAAAACAATCTTACGTAGATCTTAGAAATATGATTGTAATGACCTTTTTATTGGTGTAATATGATGTGTGGGTGGTTTTTAATCATATTTTGAGCATATTTCATTCAGTTGATGGGAAAGGGGGTCGTTTTTATCAATTTTTCACTACTTTTGCAAGAATTTTGGTATTTTCAGTGGTTTTTGCACGTATCGCAAGATTTCTAAGAATTTTTGACGTTTTTTGGACGTTATTGCAAGGTTTTTAGTGGTTTTTAACTATTTTCCACGGATTTTGCACGGAAAATTTCTCACACATTTTAAGAAGTAAGATATAATTTGAAATGCAAGTGTGAAGGACAGACCAGTGCTTGCCACCGACTATAGTCGTTCTACCTCAATATATATTTTTTGAATTGAGCCTATGCTTTACTTGATTTCCCATGTGTTAAACAACCTAATTTAGATAAGTTTATATTACTAACTGCATTTTGCGTTATAAATTGGGTCATTTATTTCATAAAATACAAAAAATAATTTTTTTTTTTTTTTTTGCAAATATTTTAACTTACATATTTAAGTTGAACAATATCTCCGACCATCACCCAACCGAGGAGAACTTTTTCGTTTCTCAATCTCAGCATTAGATTAATTCCTGATGATTGCTTTCGCAGTGGGTAAGTTGATTTAATGTCCAGAATAACCATTGTACCGTTGCCGATTTGTTTTAAACGAAATTGGATTCTCTGCTTTTGGAGTTCTGTTGAAAAGAATATTTTAAAATGAACAGGAATGAAAAATATTTGAGTTTGAGCTCATAAAGTTCAATGTGAATAATTTAATAGTCTTATGGCTAGTAGTTAGAGCAGGGATGTGCAACCTGCGCCTCACAAGAAAAAATTTGGCGCCCCACGGAGAAATACCAATTCTGAATAAAGGTGCCGCCCGCGGTTTCACCCAGTTATTTGTATCTGATCCTTGTGTATTAAAGGTTGCACACCTCTGAGTTAGAGGTTAGAGTATTAGACGTAACTATATATTAGCAGCGCGAGTTAAAAATCTCTCAGTGTAGGCCACGTTATCGGGATGTAAACGGCAATATAGGCAATGCCAGTCGCTTCAAAAGAAGAAGCTCTAATCTAACCAAAACTTATTGTCAAAATGTCAACAGCTTTAGACGTCAATAAAGTAAAATCAAATATTAGGGCCTGTTTTTACAAATAATATCTTTCATCGTGAAAAAAAATACAGTGTTAAAAAATTTCAGTAAAGTTAATAAAATTCTTCGCATTTTTGTTTGAATTTTTTATATCTCACCAATTGCTCAATATTTATTATTATTTAAGTAATAATAATAATATATATCAAATACACTTACGTTTACATTTGCTTGCTTGCTCCATTTTCTTATCTTTACACCCTGGTATTTGGTAGTTGATTGTTTTCGCGTATCCTCGCTGAGGAGTGATGGTGATCTCAATCATTTCACCTGGCGTAAGTTTTTCTTTGGAACACGTCATGTCGATTACGAAACTGTGTGTGGTCTGAAGGAAAGAAATTCAAGTTTCAAATGAATTTGAAAGTATGAAAAACAAAGTATACAATATATAAATACAAATACAAAAGAAAAAAATTGAAGTTTTATCATTCTTGATCTTAAAAAGCGAAAAAATCACTTCGTTGTCTCTCTTCGTGATTGTAAAATTGCGTGTTCTGGCTGCAAACGATACTACTATCAAGAAACAGAACGACCATACGCATATTTTATCAAGAATTTTGTGTGAAGCAATCATTATGAAAAATTCAAAAATATTATTTGTGTCTGTATTTTTCATTATTCGTTTCAGATAGTATTGAATTAAACAATAAAATTGGAAAATATAAAAAAGATTGTTTTCAACAGTGAACTCAACCGAATCCATCGGTGTCTCACCGCATCGAAAACGCAAAAATTGATAAGATTTGTTAAAGCATTACGTAGTCGCCACATTCGTTTGAAAACAGAGTCTATGATCGATTATATTTTGAACATAGAATAGGCAGTGGCAGTGCTGGCAAAGAGGGAAGGGGGAGGGGGGGGGGGGTCATTGTCTCATTATTTTTGAAAAAGTAGAAATGGCCCTAGTTACTCAATGGATTGACTTCGATTCGCCATCAAGTAATGCCAGTGGAACTTAGTGATTGAATAGACTTCTGAATCGGGCGGGCTCAAGATCCATGACATGACTGGGTGGCTCGCGACCCAGAGATCGGTAGAAATTCGACCCGACGCTGAATAAGGCACATCGATACACAAAAACTAAATTTCAATTACACGACCTGTCAAAGGTTCATCATGCCGAGAATACGCCATAAAAAGATATTGATCAAATAAGAATTTATACGTTGAAAAAATTTGATAAGATATAATTCAATCATGGGCGCAATAATCTGCATGAATTGTATCCAGAACCAGTATATGATGCTACACAGACAAATCGCGAAAATCGATGCTTCTTAAAAACAGTCATTACGAATTTAGCGCTAAATTTCAAGTGTACGGCCTGTCAAAATCGAGTGGCATTAAGAATGTAAAATGAAAGATTTACATGAGATAAGCTTATGAAATATTGTGTGGGTTCGATTGTTTGCGATATACATCCTATGCGCGTTACACCGAAACTTCGAAAATAGCAAATGAGCAATCGAAGTATTTAATCTAAATCAAACAATGCCACGGCATTTGAAAATTAAATTAAAACTCTCTCAATTCGTAAATAACTGGCAACAATAAATAAACTTCAATTTGAAACGTGGCTCATCAAATTGTATGAAATTTTTCCAAATGAACGAAATCAGTTTTATCAAAAGAATTGCGATAGTTTATATATTTTTCTAAAGATATATTTATCAGATAAACGAATGCTTGCGGGCGATTGTATTATTGGTTTATGTAATAACTTCATGCTGGCATATATGAAAACTTAATTCTTTGAAATACTTAAATTTTCATTTTGCATAAACGCTTCAGCTTGATACAGGTAATTCGTGCACTTGGCCCGCGGGCCAAATGCGGCCCACAAGGTAAAAGTGGGCGGCCCGCGGAAAAACGAGTTTTTAATTTAGTTTAATCTGATAGTGCGAGTAATTCCAATTCCTTTGCGCTGCAAAGCCGGCTATAGCTGAGTCCAATTCATTATCTATGACGTCACAATGCCCTAACAGACAGCTTGTGCGAAGCCAACAACGCGTGTCTTATGATTAACAACTAAAATTTTTATACGTGCAATTACTAGAAAGCCTATGTTAAATAAAGGTGCGGCCTGCGGTTTCACCCAGTTATTTGTATCTGCCCCTTCTGTATTAAAGGTTGCACACGCCTTAATTATTAAGACTTTACACATTTTTTATAGCCCGTATCGTATATCACTGAGTACAATTTATTTAAAACGCACTCGCGCATGAGGTTTCGCGTAAAAGTACTGCCAACAAAATAAGGAAAAAAAAATACTGAAAAAATAGCATTTAGAAGATCTGTACATGAAATTGTCTCAAAATTACCATCAATTTTACTTATTCTTCAGCAGGGTTTCTTTAAGCTAAATACTAAACGACCGAAAATCGCAGATTATTATCTTGACGCGTTGTTGTGAAGGACATATGAAAGTGTGATGTTATCAGGCATATTTAGAAACATGATTTGTGGCTTTCTTCGAAACTAAGGATATTGTTTACAGGAAACCCATATTCAATGAGTAGCGTATTAAAATTATTTCACTCTGATTTAGCGAAGATGAATTATTGAAAAAATAACAAAAGTAACGGATATTTACAAGTAATGACAACAAATAAAATTAAGTTTAGTAGGGCATGGATTAATTTCCTTTGACAAAACAATATTTAATCCAGCAATATTGGATTTTGGATTAAATCTTGTTATGTCAGAAGAGTTAGCAGACTAAAAAGCAGACTAAAGAGACTAAAGTTTAAAAAGCAGAATATTGTTACAAATAACAGGACGTTTGCCTACAAGTATGTGACAGAAGTTTTCCACGCAAAATTCAGTTATATGAAGAATTCACAATTTCATAAGTGTTTTTTTAATCATATAGGATTTAACTGTTCTAAGTTTCTCGCCAATTGACATTTACTAGTGCATAGTGTAACGCCATAATTCTATTTGTCGGTAAAATTTGCTTAGAGTTGAGTGCCCTTCAGTGTCCACTATTAGCAAATTTTTTGCGAAAACTGCAAGGAACTTTCGCATTTTTAGAGATGCGAAATCGCCATAGTACATAGTGCATTTAAAAGAGTTTAAACAAAATCTAGGCCATCGAACTCGCACTAATGATTTCACTGCTGCACACTGGACTTCCCTTGTTTCTGAGCGAGTCTGTGCGATTTTGATTTAGGTAATTCCCATTAGGAAGACTTAATTTAATCATATGTAATTTTAACAGTGCAAAAAATAGCATTGCAGAAATACATAATCAAATATTATCATTATCAAGAAATGTGCCATCCAACTTTTAGTCAAAGACCAATATATATCAGTCAAAAACTATTCTAGTATAAATGACATGAATTTATTATTTTTCATCGAAAAGCTTGAGTAACACCGAAAACCGTTAAATCCTTCTATCAGCGTCACCGTGTTATTTGTTTAGCGCTTGACATGTTTACAGTTCCGCGTGTACGAGGCGTCGAGTTTCGAATTCGGAAGCAATTTTAATAACAGTTTACATGTATTTGTAAACACATAGATAATCCTCTCTGTGGTATCGTTTTCGATAATGTAATTCAGCGTTCTGTTTCGCCTTATCATGATTTTAACAATGTATATACAGTAATCAATGGTGATTTTATATGTTTTTAACGACGTCCATCTACGCATTTCGTTCAGGCAGCAGCAAGTGCGAATCTACTATTTTTGTATATACTATAATCTTTCCAGGTCGCCATTGCGTGTCCAATTTATTACACTCTGAGTGGGATGATTAATGCAGGGTTTGAACCCAAAGTGTGCAATCTGCGAACATAGTTAAGTCAAACGCTGTAACCACTGGGCCATCAGCTTTGACTGTTGTTGAATCGCGAATTTCACAAGATAGTATTTCGAACATATTATTCTATGGCGTCTGTCGGGTATTTATCTTGAAATCCTCTTTTAATATTTGATGATGTTTAGCTATTTATTTTTAACCATGGAACAACCTTTGCATTTCCAGCCGATTTCAATGAAATCTTTCATTTTACTATCTGAGAGTTTTTAATTCATATAAGGCTTTAAAAAAGCAACATGCGACGACATAATCAGGCTAACTGTAAATAAACTAATAAATTTATTAACGTAGGAAGGCGAAACTATAGAATACTTTGCTCAAAGAATTACGACGAGTAGTTAAAATTTAAGTTTCAAGCATATAAACGCGATGTTTTGTTGATTTCAACTTTTCGAATTTCTGTATGACGCAATTAATGACATCATCATGACAGCACAATGGGTTAATTATATTTAAAAAAAAATCATTTCGCTGACATCTGTATATATACTAAGACGATTGGCTCGATTTCTGATTACGAGCATATGAACACGATTTTTTGTTGATTTTAACTTTTCGATTTTCTGTATGACGCAATTAATGACATCATCATGACAACACAATTGGTTAATTAAATTTAAAAACGCTTTACTTCATTTTGCTGACATCTCTACATGTACTAGAAAATTTCAAAGCAACAGAACGCAGTATGACTCAAACTACTGGTACTTATAAACAAACGATCATACAACGACGGTTGTGCCAATCTCGACAACCTTGTGTCATGACTTTCCTGACACTTCAATTTCAAGCGGTCATTTTATTTAATGGAAATTGGCTAAAAATTAATTTTACAACAGGACGATCCCACTTGATGCGAACAAAAAAATTACAATTCAGGTTCAAATAAGAATAATAAATAGAATGATACAAATTATATGAATAAAATGAAAGTTCAACGAATCAGTTTGTCATGACTTTTCGAAAGATGGCTCGAAACAAGGTCACGTGATCCGCAAATAAATATAGAAAGATTACGAATAAAAGAGCCGTAATCCACAACGGATACGCTTATATTTGCCTGGGAAATTATTTGTGTTTGAAATTTGCGAATATAATAAAATTCCAACATTCGACTGTAGTGCGTTTGTTTCTTCTTATATATTATTTTTTTTTTAAGTAATATAAGTGTATAATACTCTAATAATCAGCCTTGACACACATATTCATTCAATAACTGTGAATCCCGCGCATAACAGTGAATTGGGGGGGAGGGGGGGAGGGCGCTGACTTCGACTTCGATATCGCTCTCTCCTGTCTTTACCAAAAACAGTGTTTATTCAATAGTATGTATGACTTCATATTTATAAATGTTTTGTTGACAAATTAATAAATCTATCAATCTATTTTAAAGGTTCTTTAAGTCTCCTGTCAGACAATATTTAGTTTCGAGTAATGCACCGCCCTATTTTAAATAGTACGCAGTGGCATTTTGAATTTTAGTAGTAGTTCACGACTTTGCTCATAGATAAGGTAGTAATAGAGAAATTGCAACCGATCACTGACTCGCAATTTTCTCACATATTGGTTTATAGACATTTCATGTTGATTAGAATTCTGAAAAATGCCGCTCGGCGGTGTGGCACATCGTGCTAAGAGTTATAAATTCGCTCGCCATCTCTGATTATTCTGCGCGAGTTAGCAGGTTCGAATCCCATGAGTAAATTATGAGCGAGAGGATTGCTGGACTCCTCGCCTCCGACTCACGTAATCGCTGACCGGTTACGGCTTCCTTTATCAAGTCCATGTACCTGAAACAAATACCTGTCTAACTAATCCTATACTTGATATGGACTGGTAACCGTACGAGAGACCGTGGTTCACCATATGATTAAGTTGTTTTATCGACTTTCCTCTCCCCCGGGATAAATATATAAATCGTATATTTTTCAATATAATGTCACACTACCTGACTTCTTTCCGGCTTTGGTGTTGATATTTTTCCACAGTATATCGGTTTGGACATATCTGCTCGAACATCAATCTCATATGATTGTGGGGAATCTGTTTGGAAGAATTTTAAATCGTTATTTTTACTTTTTTATGTATGTTGTTACTTTTGCCCACCTAATTTAAAGAACCCTGGGTACGGTGATGGGCTTGGGTACGGTGGGTGTTTTACCTGGGTCCAGTGTTGCAAATCTTATGGTAAGTGGTTTTCAAACGGTGGGGCGCGCCCCACATGGGGGCGTAGACAATTTTCGGTGGGGTCGGGTATAATACGGGTCCATCCACGTATTTTAAACGTGTTTTTGAATAAAACATACTTTCGTCTTACTATCTGTAACTTATTGTTAGCTAGTTATATTCTTGAGGTGGGGCACGAGACTTGGCAAATTTGTAAACGAGGTAAGACGAAAGTATGTTTTGTTCAAAAACACGTTGAAAAGATTAGTATTAGACTTGACAAATTCGTAAACGAGGACGCGGCTTGAAAAGTTTGAGAACCAATGTTTTACATACATGAACATCAGATATACGATTTATTATATTTTATAATATATTTGAAAAGTATTCGCTTCAACAATAAACTCGAATTTAAAATTCTAACATAACGTAAAATCAGAAATTATGCCGTATTTCAAAACATAAATATTATTTGAGTTCAAATAAAAACCTAATAGTAGCCTACCTAGATATATAAACATTAGTATCTGAAACCTAATTCTATTTCAGAATACACTGCATGGTATCTTATGAAACCGCCCATTGAAATATATCCATTTAAAAATCGAATGCGTGAATGACGGTATTGATACTAAGTCGGCCAAAATTAGGACGCGATACTCATTACTGGCAATCATCATTGTTATTTTTGTGAATCATAGACAAATTAGACCATTCATACTGCTGAAGTTGAACCGGGTTTAGCGAGTGAAAATATATAGATTTAACGACTGATTTATAACTAGTAAAACACCGGTTACATTTTGTAAAAAATATCAGTTTTTGGTTACTGCAGAAGCAAAGTGAACACATTTACGTAATGCAAGTTTTACCCCGATGAAATCACCGATTGAAAATATATCTTACAATTTTAATGTGCCAACGTGTTGAGAAACCGTAGGAACTAACTATTCAGGCGTCGCAAAATAAAGTTATCGAGTAGCCTACAAATCCCTACGCCAACCACTGCACACATTGTTTAATGAATTGCATCGATCCAATAGTAGCGACATTCAAAACATTAATTTTTTTTTTACGAACACACAAAGAGCGCATTAAATGTTCATTTTTTAAAAATTGCATCATTTCACTCTTTCCATAAATAATAACTATATTTCATGGCGAATGTTACTCGCATGCTTCAATAATTATAATTTACGATACTCACTCGGAGAAAGTGCATCAAACGCAATATTTAATGCAGGATCGCCAGCATTTGTGATGAAAAGAGTAACTTTTATGTTTTTAATCTTTGCTGGTGATGTTACTTGTTGCGCTGCTCTATTAATTCCAACGTACATCCCACAACCTAGAATAGAAATATTTAAATTCATAGGTTTTTTGAACTTCTGATTTCTCTGCGTCAACCACCGCAGAGTGTCAGTGGTCCCGTAACCGCTGGTTGACAGCGTCCAAGTTCAATCATCTGGTTAGATAAATTACCCAACCTGATCACTTTTATCGAATTTCCTATACACCAGTATATGAAAATTTTACAATATTTCCCAAACGCATAGGTTATAGCCTTGAACATCAAGGTGCTTCAGGAATTGAATGAAGACTAAATGAAAGTCTTCCATGATTGAGAAATTGGGTAATTACTTCGAAGCCAAGCCACGCAGAAACCTTGAAGTGGTCCTCAACTTAGTCTAACCAAAACGTGGTCAGCCCATCACCTGAAGCTCTATAGTGCTTTACGTGTGAGTGATAGCTTGCATATAGTTTTCCGGTCTTTCTAAGTCCTATGGCACCTTACGTATTACCAGTACGTTTTTAAAGGAGACACAATAATAGGCCTATTTGGAACCTATTATCTCAACTGCATGCGTAAAAGTTAAGAGTAAACAACGGCAAACTGATTCATGATCATTGATTTATAGTGCCCTACGTATGAGTGATTGCCACAGTTTTGAAAGTAAGAGTTCTGCATATTTCCTCAAATAAAAAACTAAAAACAAAGAAAAAATTTGTTAGCGCAGTATTACCTTTCAATGATGCTCTGTAGATCCCGGTAACAAATTTTGCTTGGCAGACCGATTCCCACGGCTGCGTAGGAGGGTACAGTGGAAAAAAGTCCGGAAAATAACTCCCGCATGCGTTGGACGTAAAGAATAGTAAAATCAAATATTCGATGAACATTTGCATTGTGATTGACTAGGTTTTCAGCGTTAAATAGGTTTAATTAACTGAAAATTATGTTGCAATTGTAAAATAAATTATTAAATATAGTTCTCAAATATATGGACACTAATGGGTTTCATTGGTATTGTTGTGGTAAGGCAAGAGAACGCTAAGTTTGTCAAAAAAAAAAACGGCGGGAAAGCAATACAGAGGAGGTACAGCAATAATATCCATATTTAATTGAATAAAAAACAGCAAAAAATTTAGTAAAGTATAGGCTCAATTGACTGAAAAATAATTTGAAAATTATCATATGAACTACAATAGAGAATATCTTGAATACATGGACACAAAAGCAAACCGGTACCGATAATATACGCTAATGTTTGGTTTCTGTGGGACTTATCCTTCTTCTATGCTTTTGTGCCGGTGGATCCGTATGCATATAATGCAAGGATGCTTGTATGTCTGAGGAAGTCTGATCAGACAAAACTTTAGAATTATATTTGTGTCAGTGTGCGCAGGACTCTTGAATCACTACCGATAACATAATCGCCATTTCCAAAAATATCTTTCTCTCCCGTCTAAATTAGACCTAAATCTGTACAACAGTTTCGGCGGGTTTGTCTTCAATACTCTCGCACATCACGTTATATATGACCGACGTTCATAAAGTTCTTTTTTCGCTCCTTTTTTTCACTTTTTTCGTAAAATAATAACCGAAGTCAATTATATCCATTCATAATTTTACACGCCGTGATTATGTTAAGATTTCCCGCGCATTGGAAAGCTTCACATTCCCGCTAAATTTTAAAGCGATTTCGAGGTGTGTTTGGACGCTTTAAAACAAGAATATATATATTATGTCGAGCACATTACCGCTTCTTATACATTAATACAGTGGTTTCAAAACAAGCGACCCAAACTTTGTGAAAAAATAAATTTTGTAAAATTTCGCGACTCAAGGATTTGCTCAAATACTAGCCGGTATGTAATGCTTATGCCTTCAAGGGTCACAAAATTAACTGACTGAATAATACCAGCAGATGCCAAGTTTTTATGCTGTGATACTTTCCATATATACAATTACTATTGAGCAACACTTCAATACAAATATAAAATGAACATAAAATTTACTCCAAAAAAAATAGGAGTAATTTTCAGTTTTTTTTTCAAACAAACAAGCGCCCCAAGAAAATTTTCAGGAGAACAATGTTGGAAAACACTGCAATAATATATATGTGTGTCTATCTTTCGTGTCCGGAACAACAAATTGTTCAACTGAATTGCTCCGATCGCCATTTGAATGGCTGCCGGTGCTATTGGTCTGCAATATGGACAGACGGTTGTGGGTATTGACCAAGCAAAGGGTGGGTTGAGGGTAGGATACTCTAATTTAAAGTAGTCATCGCGAATAGAACGGAATGAAAGAGACCTTCTCGCTGCTTGAATTCAGGTGGCGATGACCCATCGAACCCTCATCAATTGCTATGAATCAATGTTTTTCCTCTTTTGTTAGATTTATTATGTGTGTTTATTGCTTTACGTTGATTCTTGTACGATGAAAATGAATATCTAAATCCGTGCTCGTGACCCCGCAGAGAATAGCTCCACGATTTAATATAATTAGCCGCGGGTCAGCAATTCTCAATCGAGGGCCCGTGGTCCGGCCTGGGGGCCACAGAGCGGTTAGAGCGGGCCCACAATGCTGAGAGCTGAACTGATTTTACATTTCTCTCTACAAGAAAATTCCCCGTTCTTCCTGGTTTCATTACTTGATAAGGTCATTTCACAGGGTGTTTTCATTTCGTTGAGAATAAATTGTTTGCACATAATAGAATTTGGAATCTACCAAATATATATACCACTGGATAAAAAGGAGACCATGAGTGCTAATAGGCTCGGAGAGGGGGTCACGAGATATGAAGGCTGGGAACCATTGACGTAGGATTTCAATGAAGCCGCCATTTGAAGCCGTTTTTGAAAAGTGAACAAGACCGCCGAATCACACAGCATGATGAAACGTATATTTGTTTATATATGTATATGTATATTTTAACCAGGTTTGATGTTTTTTAATCATTAATTGTTCAAGTATTTTTACTTCATTTAATACATGTGTGAGGGCCAAAACAATATATGGTAACCATAAATTCCCTTTGCAATTTTAATTTTTTTTAAGAATTCATTGACATCCCGGCCCGGTTTCTGAAGAAGTAAACAAGAGCGATAAATCACACAGCATGCTGAAACGTATATTTGTTTATCTGGTTCATCTGAAACAAATATGTGATGATTACTCATTGAATTCGTGACACAATTTTAACAGTGGCATTAACATTTCCAGGTCTATTTAACCACAGATCCCCACGCAATGATTCATCTACGCTTGAACCATGATTACAGAATCGTACGCAATCGACCGAGAACCGCATGTAAAATTTACATTGAAAAACCCGCATTGAGGGCTTTGAATTTCCAGCAATTTATATAATTATTCTGACTACGCGATGTATCATGTCTGGCGTGAAATGTTAAAACAATCATAATAATTTCAATTACTGTGCGTAGGCGCGTACTATTTATGCTGAATAATAGAAATACCCCAATCAATTGCAAAGGTTAGATGGCATGACGCAAGTGCAATTTTCCATCGGAGTAATTGCGGGAAAATAGTGAAATTTTTCAAACGATTTTACCCTGGCAAATCAGCGCTATCTAAGGAACGAAAATTGCATGAAAATTATGAAATATGCGTAGCCGGTTATAAGCAAATGACACACGTTGTCAAACGTCCCTAATTTCAAAATAGGCAAACGAGGTACTACGCCACATTTATAACGTGGCATCAATAATAGTAATTTTGAAACTCTAAAACTCCCAATCTAATAAAATAGATATTAGAACCTTGGGTGTCGCTGCTTTGATTTCCAGCATCCCCCAGTAAAACTGTAATTATCATTCTCTCGCAAATTGTGTACAGTTTTTTACCGACTTTGTGTTCAATAATGAAAAATACCCAAACCATTGCGTGCAATTTACAGTTGAAGTAATAGCGCAAATTAGTGTAATTTTCTAAACGATGTTCAAGTTTGAATGTCCGCAGTGACGTCTGCACGCTGATTTACTTCGTTGTTTCTATTTTTATATGCTTTGTGATTTCGATTCGGATAAAATAAGCTTACTCGATTTATTATTATATATAATAATTGCTGCCAGACAAACTATTACAATACTTTCATGGGGACGGGCAAAACTTCTGTTTCTACATAATAGTCCCTGAAATAACAAAGTTGACGCCACAGGGCAATAAAAATTGAAAGACACATGAAATTGGACAATTAGAGCTTCGTTTGTGGGAAGACAAACAATCAAACTAAGGCTCGTCAGCTCAATTGCAATACAAATGCATTCAATTGATGCACTATTGCGTGGGTGAAATGTAAATAAAATTGGGGAAATTCGCGCGCATTCCAAGAACTTGCATGGCGCAGGTTCAACTTTGCGTTGTTGTAATTGTCCTTTGAGGAAATTCCGGTACATTAACGCTGTCTAGTAATTACTGGATACGCCATCACAGTAACTTGCGTTTCTAGCTGATTGGACTGGCTTCACGTTGGGTGAAATTGGATTGAACTTGTAACAAACACCGAACACAACAAGGTAATATTCCTCCACTGCTTACACACTACACCAGAGATTCCCAACCCAGGTCATGTGGCCTACGAAGCAGGGGGCCAACATGCCAGTAGCGATATTAATTTACCTTTCCTTTAACAAGAGAACTCGCTTTTTCTAGTTTCATTGCTTGATGAAGTTATTTCACTGGGGGTTTTACATTGTTGGGCAGAATTGTTTGGACATGATGGGATTCGGAATCTACCCATAAAAAATATAACTATAAATACCACTGTAATGTTAAACAGAAGGGTCATGAGTGCTGAAACCTTCCGAAAGGAAGCCACGAGCAACAAAAGGTTGGACACCAATGCTCTGGACCAAGGGTTGGCAGCATACGGCCCGCGAGCCGGGTCCGGCCCGCGACGAGATTTTGACCGGTCCTCTGACTGTACATCAGTACATTATGACAAATTCATTATGTGTTTTTGGTCTCTATTTTTGGAAAGTTTAAACTTTACTTTATACGCGATTTATAACTTTCTTTATTGAATTAGCGAATAAATATGTGATTAGGATATTGAATACTATTCATGTTATAATCCGGCCCACCGAGGACTTCCATTTCCCACATTCTGCCCGCCGACTCGAGAAGTTGCCTACCCCCGCAGTCTACTCTAGCCGACGAAACTGTCCTTATCAAAACAATCGAGAGGTTGCAAAGTCAATAAGAATTGAGTTGAATTAAATAAGATATCGCTGCGTAACTCAATCACAATTTTTATACATTAGAATGGTTGCAAGATCCGGGTGCAAATTTGCGTTGGTGTGATTGCCTTAAATTTGGGGGAAATTCGGCAAATTAGCGCCGTGGAGTTATTACCGAAATGCGCCTTGCAGTAATTTCTATGCGGCGGCGATTAAGAGAGAGATAATCAAAGTATGTCCTGTGCCTGCCTACGCAAATTGATCTGATTTTATGTGTCTGGAAATAGTTTTTCGACATCAGTTTTTCAAAATAGTGCAACAAAATCCCATTCCACGTACTTCATAGAACAGTTTCGATAGACGAAGCTCTAATAAAAGTTTGGGATAACCTCAAATACGCTGAATAAATTCTTTTTGTTGTCGCCACAAACTCTTGATTTTATCTTATTCACAGGCTTGTCCATGGGAGATATTTTTCTGTCCCATTCCCATCGAATCCCATAGCAAATATACCTGTCCCATCCCATCCCATTGATATACAAGTCAACAAAAATTGTTAAATTTAGGTTTAGCATCTACTAAATAGGACTACATGTACGAATAGACATGCAAAACAACTAGATTTATGGACTTTGTTAACTTTATATTCATAACTATTATAAATGTGTTCACAAAGTATATTGTTAATGCTGAATATATTTCGCTCTTTATACCTAACAAGAGAGCTATGCTCA